CATGACCTTATTACCCTTAGCAAAATTAACAGTAGTTCCCTTGTATCATCTAATGTTCAGACACATTCAAATGTCAGTGGTGGTGTCTCTCTCTCTTAAGGATAAGTTTTCTTTAAAAAATATTTTTATTGATTTCAGAGAGGAAGGGAGAGATAGAAACATCAATGACTAAGGAGAATCTTTGATTGGCTGCCTCCTACAGGCCCCCGACTGGGGATGGAGCCTGCAACCACTGCATGCCCCTGACCAGAAACCCAACAGTGACCTCCTGGTTCATAGGTCGAAGCTCAACCACTGAACCAGGACGGTTGGGCAGTGGTGGCCTCAAAACTGTCCTTTTCCTGTGCCTGACCCTCTTATGTGATGTTGCACACTGCCCCCACTCTGCCCTCCTCGATTCCTGTTTTCCACTTTTTTTTCCATAGTGCGTAACATCTACCAAACCACAGACTTTAGTTATCATATTGTCTGTCCCAACCCAATCCCATCGAAAAAAAACAGGAGCTCTGCGAAGTCAGAGAATTTTGTCTGTTTTTCTCATTGCTGATACATTGCCGATTCTCAAGAAATACTAAAGAGGTAAAATATAAAGTCTGCCACTTATTGAGCCTCCCAATTGCATTATCGTGCTTACAATCTTCCTAGGAAGCGGGTGCCATTCTTAGCCCCATTTCATAGCTGGGAAACTGAAGCTCAGGAAGGTTAAGGGGGGATGGCGAGAAACTGGGGATGGCTACGGGGCTGGGTTGGGGGGTCTAGAAAGCGTCCACAATTGAATTGGGACTTTATCACATAATCGCTGGTTTCTGAGCAGGGCCCGCGATCCTTCCGTGGGGCCAAGTCGGCCTGTCCCTCCTCTCCAAGGGGAGCGCGGTAGAAGGTGCCCGCGGTAGGTGCACAGCCTGCAGCTAGAAGCGCGCTCGTCGCCCCTGGCAACAGACTCCGGAAAAACCACAGAGACGCAGCCTGAGAGTGCAGAGCGGTCCCCGCTGGGTCGTGAAACGAGGAAATCCAGAAAGGCGTGCCGGGCCGATTGTCACGTGGGCGGGACTTCCGGAAGCGCCTATTTTTTTTTTCCGGCTGTTGGCTGCTGGGAG